AAGACTTGTGTTTCCCAGAATCCATAAAATTTCCTACCATTTGTTGTTGCTCTGGTTTTAACACCTCCCCTCTTTCCTTTTGCCTACCTAAGACTGTCCTTCCTGTACCACTCCCCTGAAAGATCCAGAGTACTGCTGGCCTGGGCAGAGCAGGGCCCTTTTAGGACTCACCAGTCACAGCCCTTCTTCAACTCTTGAGTTGCCTTTGTCACTCTGTTATCACAATTTGTGTGTTTCTCCTCTTTCAGCAACTCAAGTTACTATTATCCGCTTTGCACATGTGGTTCCTGAATTTCAGGGACCTGTCAAAAATTAGGGGTAACTGCCCTTTCTGTGGTAATAGTTTTAAAAAAACATTAGCAATGAGGCAGGAGATTCCAAACACCAAGGTTTTCACAGCACAAAGTGTGATTATTATGCCATATATGATGCCATACATTTACTCTATGCAAAGTGGTGTTACAAAACCTAAGATAGTCTGATGTGGGTCCAGGATGCCTTATGCGTATGATACTTCTTTTCTTTCTGTTTTTGTTTGTCAATTGTTTTGCTTTGTTTTATCTTTCCACATATCCGAGCAAATCTAGACTCTGACTAATTTTGGGAAGCCGATGCTGAGGACTTTTCCGGCCTCCCCACTCTAGTCCCCTGCATCTGCAAGTCTGGTACTTTTTACAATCCCTCAGGGAGACATGATTGGTAGTGTGACATCCAATCACAATTCTATTACCTCTTTCAGAGAGGTGTCATGAGCAGGCTCTCTTTACTCTTTCACAGCAGTCTTAAAGGGTGAGCTAGTGTATGTTGGCAACCCAATTTTTCACAGAATCTTTGCAAGGTTATATGTTCTATTTTTGCAATAATGTAAAATATATCTTGTACCAGAAAAATCATATGGGGACTTTTATTGATAGTGTTAACGTTATAAACTAATTTAGGGAGAACTGACACAGCTTTATGTTGGGCTATGCCATCCACTGGAATATTAGTTCCTGGATGGCTGGAGTATTGTTCATTTTGTCTGGTGCTTTATCTTCAGTGCCTAGAACTGCTTGATACATGGTTAGCATTCAGTGTTTATTGAATGATGGAATGGATTGTCTTTCCATTTATGTTGATCTTATATCCCTCAGAAGTTCTTTAAGGTTTTTTTTTTTTTCCTATAACTCTTGTACATTTTCATGATTTTTTTTTTTCCTGGAGATGTGACTTTTTGGCTATTGAAGGGGATGTCTTCTCTCTACCATGACTTCTAGATGACTGTTGTTTGACTATGTAAAGTCTACCTGGGTATTATTATTGCATATTAATTTGTAAAAAGCTGTGCTATTAAATTTTCTAATTTGTTTGTAAAACTTTTACATAATTACCAAGTGTCATTGTTGTTTTTCTTAAAATTTTCTAGAGTTCAGTAACTTAAAAGATTGAATAACAAGTCCAAAGAGAAACAGCAAACAAATAATCCCATTCTATCAGTGAGATTCTTGTTGGTTATATGAGTAAGCAGTGGTACAGATATAAACCTGTAGTTTCTTCTCTAAAAATTAAATATGGTGATTAAGGAAAATGTCAAATCCAGATCCATCTCATTCCTTGCTGGTTGGGCATCATCTGTTCTCTGTGCTGCTTGCTAATTTGGAAAAACTATAATGTTTGCTGTTTGGTCCTCTTCATTTGGGAAGGATTATTTGCAATTTAAATCACAAAAGAAAGAAACTGTCAGTACATATTGACTTGCCCAAGTTCCCCTGTTTTACTGCAGTGTTGATTCACTAAGCCTTGATATATAAGTGAACTCATGCAAATGAATGCATCTGTCTTCATTTCTCTTTGCCATTAGATCATTATGCAAACATTAAACACCAAAAAAGACACAAAATGATTGATTACTTGAGCAGAGAATGGAGGTTAGCTGAAAGCAAATTCCAGAAGCAGGTTCCTCCCTTTCCAACCACCTCTTCTCTCCTACCCGCTTTGGAAACACCCATAATGAATTTAGTCAATTCCTTTGGGACTAAAGATACTTATTGGCAGTCAACATTCTTGTGATTCAGTGCATTTTCTTGCAACAATATTGTACATTTACTCCTGAATTGTTACCTAATTTATATATCCCTTCTTTGGTCTGCCCTGCTCAGCTAATCCTAATCAATAATTACAACACATCTGTCAGAAGACAAAACTGTGAAATAGATGTTGCATTAACCCCAAGTCTTTGGTTGACATTGTTTCCAGGACTATCTCCTCTGTGTCTGCTTTCCTCACAACCTGCCCTGTGGCTTAGTGGCCTGTGACTCTGCCTCTGTGACTAGGCTGAGCATCCTGAGGATAATAATGGCCTTCATTTTTTTTTTCATCTTAGTGCTTCAATGTTTGGGTCATAGTAGCATTCAGTAAGTTATTGAATGCATAAATTGTTCCAATAACTGGGGCATAAATATTTTCTTTCTTGTTATTAAAACTAGCTCTTAGAAAAAGATTTGAAATATTTTTAAATGGGAGGGTAGTTGACTGTTACCAGTTTAAAAAGTAGCCAGATCAATGGATTTATATTTTAAAGAATAAATTAAAATAGTTATTGACCTTTTTTAGATTTTTAAGATTCAGCAAGAAACCTGGGAAGGGCTTGGGTTCCTTCAAGACAAAACTGCACTGACTTCTTTCTGCCATAAAGACTGCTTCCAAACCTGTTTGATGGTGTCCCATTTTATGCAAGAAGCATTTTCTTGAAAACATGAGTAGAGACAAAATTTTTATAACTGGAAACTTACTTCTCACATGCCTGGCATTACTGTTTCATTGTTGTGTCTTTGTGAATTTCTGACTAGGCTCTAAAAAACACTATGCTTCCCATGCTTCAGGAAAGGTCTATAGCTGGGCACAGTGGTGAACACCTGTAATCCCAGCAGCTCAGGAGGCCAGGGCAGGAGGATCGAAAGTTCAAGACAGCCTCAGCAACTAAACAAGGCCTTAACCATCTTAGCAAGATGCTGTCTCAAAATAAAAAATAAAAAGAGCATTGCATATGGTTCAGTGGTTATGCACCCCTAGGTGCATAAATAAAATAAATAGAAAAAGAAAGAAATTTCTAAAATCAAAAGTTTAAATATACAGGATTACTCTGCATAATCCAAGAAAATGCAAAGAATTCTTTTTTGGGCAAAATTGTTAGGCACTTCTTTGCTCTGTGGTGAGAATAGTCACCCATCATTTTTTTTCTGTCATCTTTGTTATTTTAATTATTAACTTTAGTTTTAAAAAATTGACACCCTGCCTTCTACCAACAGGATTTATAGGGGTTATTTGTTAAGTTCATCTCTTCAAATATCATCTGGGCCCATATGGGTATCTATGGTGCATGTGAGGGGCTATTTTGTTTTAAGGAGACACAGGTGAAAAGCACAGCAATGGACATGGTTACAAATGGTTCTGGCAAAAAAATATAAAAGAACTTGAACTTTTATGCACTTGATAAGAATTTTGGTTCTTGAATTTCAATCCTTATTTGGTCTCTCATATAAAATGTAATGCATGAAGCTGACATCATAAGCATTCATACCCTCTTCCTCGGCTTCTGCATTGAAGGCAGTGTCGGCTCATACCTGTAGTGCTGTGAGACTGAAGGGTCAAAGCAGGCCCCCAGCAATGTTGGGCTGGGACAGAGCCTGGAAACCTTGACTGCCCTGCTTGGAATGACATTCTCTGTGGCACTAAGGAAATGAGTGACCTGATGACCCTTGCTTCCTTTCCCCAAGCACTCCATTCTTCTCAGTAGGCTAGATGAAAGATTCTTTCTTTCCCTGATTTGAATTTTTTTATTGCCTAGTAGAATTATATACCAGCAGCAACAATTTTAAAACCTTGATGATAAGCATTCATAGAGGTTTTTAAAATTATAATGAACTGTTATATGTAATTAAGAAAAGGATGGAGGTATGCAATAGTTTTTTTTGTTTGTTTGTTTGTTTTTTAATTTGACTTTGAAAAAGCAAGTCTGTTCTTGCATTTTAATATAAGTGTCTTTGATGTTCCAAAAGTTTATAACCCTGAAATTTGGGGTCAAAGCAGGCCTTTGATTTTGGAGAAGATGGGAAAGCACCTAGTTTCCCCATTTGTATCCAGAAAGATAGCAAATAGTAAAGAGAAAAGTAACATCATAGGAGGTCTAAAACACTATTTATCATAATTAGCCTCTGGATATGTGAATACTGACTTGTCATTTTTTTTATGAAAGGAAAAATATTCTTAATATTTTCTTACCTTCTGTTTTTGTGACAAATCAAAAGATTTGAATCTCTTCTTGGTGTAAAGACATTATTCCCACAAGATCTGTGAGATTTTACGATTTGGGTGCATATTGATAAATTGATAGCAGTTACCCTGAAATTCGGAGGACCAACACTGCTTTGCCATACTGAGACATACTCAGCAAGAAATCGTATCAGTCGTTGCATGAGCCATTTGGTACTTGGTTTGTAAATGACCAAAAAAGTGAAAGTTGGTAATATTTTTCTTGAACCTGTGGAGAGCTCTCTCTCCTGTCAGTTGGCTTCCTAAGCTGAAATGTGTCAGGAACTTGGAGTCTGTTACTACACAATATGCATTTGTATTGTTATTTAAAATCCTGTTCTAACTTCTTATCTTAGGACTTTCAGCTGTTCTTTTTGGAGTTACAAGGACAGAATTCAGAGAAAGTCACTAGGGAACGGTAGGAAACAGAAGCTGAATATCATCATTGGTATATAAGTCTATTTATTGCCAACCTAGAGCAAACTACCCCACTGGCGCTGGATAATAAGCCCTTGTGGAATATCTACCTTGATGCTAACGGTGCATACTTCTTCATGAGACACTTTGCAGCTTACAATGGAAGGAGACCATGGATATCTTTTCTCATAGAAGAAAAAGTGAAAAGAGTTTCTGGGGAGAAGTCACCTAATCATGAAATAATATCTGTGGTGCTGCTTTCATTTAATAGGACAAACGCTTTTCTTTTACAGAGGAATTCAAGGGCTCCACTGTGGTTGAATTGATGAAGAAGGAAGGCACCACCCTGGGTCTGACAGTGTCCGGAGGAATTGACAAGGATGGCAAGCCACGGGTGTCCAACCTGCGGCAGGGAGGAATCGCTGCTAGGTAACTGCCTCTGTGGGGAAATGGGAAAGAGACGTGGGGTATAATTAATTCAAAAATTAAAGCTCTATCAGAAAAGGTCACTAATAAATAAATGACAGTTGCCATCTGCCAGGCAGCACGTCCCCCCAGAAGCTCAGCAGGGCACGGTTCAGAAGCTGCTCCCCAGACCTGCCAGTGGCTTTTCTGGCCTACACTGAAGTCACTAGGGAGGTTTCTTATGTCATCTAAGGGGCAGCCAGCCTCTGATAAAATTTGTAAATCAATGGATGTGTAACTGATGTGAATCTGCAATCTGTGTATGGGGTGAAGGTGGGAGTTCATAACCCACTAGAATCAAAGTGTGGAATATGATATGTCAAGAAATTTGTAATGTTTTGAACAACCCACAATAAAAAATTAAAAAAAAAAAAAAAAATAAAAGGCTAAAAAAGGTAAAAAAAAAAAAAAAAAGATTTTAATTTTAACATATATATAGACCTAGACCTAAATGTGCCATCAAACAGCAGACGGGCTGCAGTGGGGATGAGACACAGAGATCATCTCAAAGTGAAGTAGATGACCCATGTTATGTATCCAGGGATGCGTCCACAGAGGGACAGAGCTGGCCAGGAAGAGTGGGAGGCCCAATGTCCCATTTCCAAGTAAAATAATTGCTTTTCTGATTTTCTGCTTGTGAGACTGCCCTTTCCACCAACATAAAGAGATGGTTTCCAAAGGACAGAAGGCTTGGAGGGGAAGTTCTCACTTTGCCTTCTTCCCATGAACTGCAAATTATTCTCACATTGCAAAGGCAGAACGTCCTAGATACCGGCCAGGGGTGGGCTTGCTTTAGAGATACATTCTAAATTTACCTCAGCAAGATGGAATATTGAGCTTTATTAAAAGTGAGGTCAGGCTGGGCGTGATGGTGCATGCCTGTAATCACAGGGACTTGGGAGGCTGAGGATGGAGAATCGTGAGTTTAAAGCCAGCTTCAGCAAAAGCAAGGTGCTAAGCAACTCAGTGAGACCCTGTCTCTAAATAAAATACAAAATAGGGCTGGAGATGTGGCTCAGTGGTCAAGTGCCCTTGAGTTTAATCCCTGATACCCCCCAATAAAAGTGAGATCAGGGGCTGGGGATGTGGCTCAAGCGGTAACACGCTCGCCTGGCATGTGCGGGGCACTGGGTTCCATCCTCAGCACCACATAAAATAAAGATGTTGTGTCCACTGAAAACTGAAAAATAAATATTTAAAAAAAAATTCTCTCTCTTCTCTCTCTCTTTCTCTCTTAAAAAAAAAAAGTGAGATCAGGGGTCCTTAAATCCTAGACACTAATGTTCTTGTCCACGTAATTCCAAGTTTAGAGTTCTTGTCTTATAAATAGTGACTACTTTTGATAATCAACCCACATATCCAGTTTATAAGCTTAATCTAGCTGATTGCTCCCTGATGCAAAGGTATTACTCATAGGAGAGGCTGACAGGAATATGAGCACCTTACCCCTTCTCCTTCAGACTTTGAGAGACTTTCTTTGGCCCTGGATAAAATCCCAGTGACGATATTGTAACCCATGACGTGTCCAAAAGGCAGGCAGCAAAAATGAGAGGGACTAAAAAGAAAAAGATCTGAAGTATCTGGGATCTGGATCCATTCCCAGAGAATCAGCCCCTTAAGTGCTGAGCAACTCAATAAATAAATAAAAATTATTTTGTTTTATGGTGCTTTTAAAAACAAAAAGGTTAAGGGAAAATCATAAATAATGGCATACCCAGACCAGAATTTCTAAAATGTGACAGCTGAGAAAACAGAACCCACTGACACTGAGCTACACCCCTGCCCTCAGGAACCAGTCACCTCCTGAGCAGCAGGGACTTCACTATGTTGCCATCTAAACTTGCTTATTCATGAGTGGAAAGTGAAAAATAGATCCAGACTGGCCTGTGGAGAAGATGGGCCACTGAACTAACACTGTCTATTTTGCAGAAGTGACCAGCTAGATGTGGGTGACTACATCAAAGCTGTGAATGGGATCAACCTGGCCAAATTCCGCCATGATGAGATCATCAGCTTGCTGAAGAATGTTGGAGAGAGAGTGGTTCTTGAAGTGGAGTATGAGCTTCCGCCAGTCTGTGAGTAAACACAATCTGGGGCAGTGTAGGGGGTACCACATCACTTCCTAAAGCACCTGGCTTCTGTTGTTCCCTTTTGCCACCAGTGTCTCATTACAGCAAGGTCAAAGCAAACTTGATATTTTTAAGTATTTGATTTGAGAAACATATAGCCTCACTCAGAAAAAATAAAAAGAGAATAATTAACAATGAAATTACCCAGGGCCCATGTTCTATTAATGTGATGTGATCTTTCTACAACACTTATGTATGTAAAGTTTTATTTATATAAATAAATAAATAAATAAATAAATATATATATATATATATATATATATATATATACACACACATATATATATGTATATATAATATATAGTCTCTGTGCCTTAAGTACTAAATTTTGCACTCAGATTTAGGGAAAGCATGTTTTATATTGACTCTTGTATAGATATGTTTATGTCTGAAACATAAACATAATTTCAGATCACATTATTATCAAATAATAATAATGGTAATAACAAGAGCAGCTAACACATTTTGAACACTTATTAAATGTTGAAATTATAAGAAAGTTGACTTGCATTGATTTACATAATCCTCACTAGAATCGGGGTCAGCAAAGGTGAACTTTAATTTATCAAATGGCTGGGTTCAAATCCCAGCTTCCCCTTTTACCAACTACTTACTTTTGAGAAAGTTACTTAAACTTTCTAGGTATCTGTTTTCACATCCTTAAAATGGGGATAATATTAATTTCTACTCATAAGTTTATTAAGAGAAGTAACTAAGTTAATATTTATAAAACACTTAGAACGGTGCTTGGCACTATAAAAGTTTTTAATAAATAATGATCAATCAATCAATCCTGCAAAGTAGTCCCTATTATTGCTCTTTTTCTCACTTTACAGAAGCTTAAGTATCTTTCCCAAATTAATAGTCCTGGTCTGCAAAGTCCATATTTAAGCACAAGCTGCCCAATTTCAAAGCCCACATGCTTGTTCACATGAGACATACCTTGTGCTATGTGTTACTGCTTCCTTGCATTTAAGCTATACTATTCTAGAACCACCTCTCCAATTATTAGCTATTCACAAGATGCTATCCTAGAAATCTCTTTGCGCTTCCCTACTGGTGAGAATACAGATAAATTATGAAGAGTTGGTAATAATTCATTTTCAGTAATGATTTATATTCCAGCCTCTGCTACATTCTGGGAGCTTGGGTACATCCATGGAATTGCCATCATAGCAGGGGAAGACAGATAATAAAACAAAAACATAATAAGTAAATTACAGAGTAGGGTCATGGATGTTATGAAATCAGAGCAAGAGAGCGATTAAGGGTGATGGGATTGGGGAGGGATTACAATTTTAAATCGAGTGGTCAAGGAGCAGCCACTGAGAAAATAACATTTGTTCATGACATGAAGGAAAGGTGGGGAGTGACCATATTAATTTCTGGAGGAAGAGAGTTACAGAAAAATGGACCAGCCAGTGCCAAGACCAGAAGGCAGCAATATCCCTGGGTTATTCTACAAACATTAAGAAAGGCAGTATGGGTGGAGCAGAACACTCAGGAAGAGGATTAAGAAATGAGGTCAGAAATGTAAGGTGAAAGGTGTCCTCATTGGATACTGGAAGGACCTTCAGTTTTGCTCTGAATGATGCAGAAAGCCACTGTATGGTTTGAACAGAGAAAAGCATGATCTTATTTATGTTTTTGAAGGCTCTTTCAGGCTGCTGTGTCGAGAACAGACTTCAGGGTGAGGATAGAAGCTGGAGCTATTGCACTGATTCAGGGGAAAGAGAGTAAATGGAGGTAGTGAGAATCAGATTCTAAATTAATCTTGAAGATAGACCAACAGGATTTTCTAATGGCTTTAGGTGAGTCGTTTGGAAATGAAGAAGTCAAGAATAACCCCAGGTTTTGAGTCTGAGCAACTGGAAGGATGGAGTTGCCATTTAACAGGGTGGGGAAGAATATGGGAAGAGCTGACCAGGGGGGAGATCAGGAGATCATTGTTTGATATTTGAGATGTGTATTCTATATGCACAAGGAAATATCAGGAAAAGAGCTTCAGTTAAGGGACTTGGAAGTAAGATCTGGACTAGAAATGTAAATTGAGCATGATGGGAGTTGAGATGATGTTTGAAGCTTGGGGACCAGATTAGAGCACTAAGGGAATATGTACATAGCCAGTCACAAGTACTTATTCTTAACATAAAATGTAGCATGGAAAATTGAGTGCTCATTTTATAACAAAATCAATTTAAGTTTATGTTAAATAAAAAAAATTTTAAAAAAACTCGCTACATTTTTTTTTCATTTTCAGCAAGAGTAAGACAGTAAAATAGAGTGTTAAGGGTGTGGACTGGTTTGCTAGTTAAATGTCTCCCTTGTCCATTTCTAGCTTTGTAAACTCTGGATGTGTGTTTTCAGTTCTTCAAGCCTTAGGCTTCCCAGCTGTTACGTGGCTATGATTGTTGTAGGATGTTTGTTAAGGAGCACAGGCTACCATCACATAATCATTATTTAGACCATTATCAGATGCTTGGTAAGAAATTAATATTAACCATCATCATCATTGTTATTATTCTTTTGCTGAAGATACTGTAGTTTTATTACAATATTATAGTTATGCATCGTAGTTGGGTTTATTTTGACAAAATCATACATGCATGGAATTCAATTTACTCCATTTTAGTCCCCATGACCCTCTTTTTCTTCCCCTCCCCTACCCATTCCCCCTCTATGTGTTCTTGAATGTTAGAACAGTCAGTGTGCTTTGAAATCACCATCTCACACCATCACTGAGGAGTTAAGAGAACTAGAGTCAAAGCTACTTGAATATGCATTTGCATCCCACTGAGTATATAAATATTAATCAAGCATGACCTCTTTCTAAAGGAGCTGTCAGTGTAGCTTTCAGGTTATGACCCATAATAAAGATTTCCCAATATTTGGGGGTGATTCAGACCTGGGGATTTGGGGAAAGTCTTAAAGGAAACAGGGCAAGTCAAGTGGAAAGAGGAACAACATTCCATGCAGAGGGTCCAGCAAGGGGATGAGACAGTATAGCCCAGTGCACAGGTTAAGCCCAAACAGATTGGAGTTGTTAGAGCACAAAGGGAATAGCAGAGAGGCCATAGGTAAGAAGGAGGCCAAAGAGGAGCCAAACAAGGAGGACCTTCTACACCATTTTGGTGAATGTGGGGTGGCATCAAGTGGGCAGGGAGGAGTCAGTAAAGGCTTTTAAAACTGCTTCATCAGATTGGGATTTTTAGGTTCATCATTTTGGTGGCCAAATGGAGTATAGATCAGGAGCTATTAAGCCTAAGGGCTGCTTCAGTTTTCCAAAAGAGAGGTGATATCCTAAATCAATATTGCATTGGTAGAGTTAAAGAGAAAAAGATGAGTATCAGAAATGTTTTGGAATAAAAGCCTTTCATAACCCAGTGATTATACCTGCTTTGTCTTCCTCACATAAGAAAGCTGATGGGGGAAAAAAAAGATATTTTTAAACACAAAAGTGTGAATTTTCGTGCTAGAAATCAGATAGAAGAGATCTATTCTCCAAGGATGATCTGTTTCTTTTTATTATGTTTGGAGAAATTAATAAGGTCTTTGAGTTCAGAGAGGTTGGAAGGATTAGCAAGCCTCCACTCCACTTAGCTCAGACTGCCAGAGCAAAACAGACCACCACAGCTGAGGCCCTGGAGGAGAACTGACACTGAGAGATAAGCCGCCCAAGGCCAAAGCCACAGCCAGTAACTTTCTCCAGATCACAGCAATTTGAGGTTCAGCCAACCCCAGAGTTTAGAAAGAGCTGGAGGAAGGATGTGTGCTTCCATGATCTGATAAAGGAAAGATTGAAGTTTGACTTTGGGCAAGCCACTTATCTTTTCTGAGATTCAGTTTCTTTACAAAAATGAAATGATTGGACTACATGAGCTTTACATTTCTTTTTCACTTTAAAATATATGATGCTTTGAAACTGTATTTAGGAAGAACATGACTCAACTGTATCTTAGGCATTTATGCATTAAAAGTCAGACCAGAGCTGGACACAGTGGAGCACGCCTGTAATTCCTTGGCTCTGGAGCCTGAGGCAGGAGGATAACAAGTTCAAAGCATCAACAAAAGTGAGTCGCTAAGCAACTCAGTGAGACCTGTCTCTAAATAAAATAAAAAATAGGGCTGGGGATGTGGCTCAGTGGTCAAGTGCTCCTAAGTTCAATTCTCATAACCCCCCACCAAAAAAAAAAAAAAAAAACAGAGCAGAGTAGTGCCTTCAAAATTTGTGTCACATACCACCTGCAGAACATTGAAATGTTAAATAATTCTCATCCATTTTCAGTTAACACCTAGAATTTTTTATTATAAGCTTAAATGGTTGGAAAGAGTATAATTTTTAGCAAGTTGTTTTTTTTAAAATTCTGTTTCCATTCAAACCGTGGAGCTGCAGATTTACTTATTCAATAAAAATGCCTATCACACAATCTGGTTGGCAGAGGTCGTCCTTATGGTTAAACCATTGACTGAATCAAACTAGCTTTCTATGGAAAGGAGTCTTTTCTTAACTTAGATAAAGGTGTTAAAACATGTCACTGGATAGGCTTTTTCTCAATTCTAACACCAATGGAAAACAGATAGATGGTGGTGGTGGTGGTGATAGAGAACAGGAATGGGGTGTAATTCAAGGTTCCCTACATGAGGTTCATTCTGGGATTAAGTATAAGAGAGCAGCACTTCTCAGGGAAGCTCTTCCTTGGCAGAGGGGGGAAAAAAGGATAAGCCTGGCCACCAGAGCACATGTCTAGTAAGAACCATGGGCAAGTGTAACATAACGAAGGGGCAAAGTGCACAACTCCTATGTTCTTGGTGAGGTGGGGAGGCAGGGAAAGAGTACATAGGTTGGAGTGATCTTATCTACTATAGTAAAAGAACTGTGTAGAAGTACATGCATGTTCACATATAGAACAAAGGATGCCAATACAACTAAAATAAGTAAGGAGTAGTTTTATATTTTGAAATTAGTTTTTACCTGACCCTTTGATTCTTTTGGTAAGCCCTTAATTGCATCTTTGAATACACATACACACATGCAAAGTAATAAGTAAAAAATTAGAGTGGCCAATATAGGATATCTGGTCCTAGGTATAAAACCATATCACCAAGAGCCTGTCATGCAAACAAGAATTATAAAGATCAGATCTATTTCATTAATTAACATAAAATGTAGTCAGCATTCAGATTTACAATTGTAACTGATAGAGAGCAATAAGTGTAGATAATCTACAGCTGTAGATAATCCCCAAAGTCTTTATAGTGACTTAAGATTTGATTTTAAGATTTTGTGGTCAGCAAGATTTAACCAGAGCAATGTTAAAATTCCATTACTTTGCATTCCCAGAACAGACATCCAGTCAACAAGGACAGGTGGCCCAGAATTAGGATTTGGTTGAACATAATTGAAAGATGATTTAATGATTAAATAAAATAATATTTGCAAACAGTTTTGCAGAGGTCTGGGGACAGAGGAGATGCTATTGAGTATTTCTCCCATATCCTTTGCTTTTCTCACTTATCAGCTGAACAGAAAACATCATGTTCCTTAACCAATTTCTTCAAGTGGCTTGTTGGGTCATAGAAATAGAAAAAAAAAAAAACATTTGGTTTGAACCCAATTTTGTTTTTCATTTAATTAAAACTATACCTCAACTCTTTTCAGTTGTTTGCACTGTTCCTAGTTGATTGGAATAAACTGTAATTCCCCTGGTAGCAAGAATATGACATTTAATTAAATCAGCAGTGTACCAAAACATTAGTTCAGCTGCAGGTTTATGTTGTTTTTCAGCAGATCCAAGTTATTTTTGCACTTTATGTCCTAGCCTGTTAAATGTGCAGTTCTGTAAATTTAAATGTCTACTTTTCATAAACATTTCTACAGTATTCCTTTGAGGGTTAAGATTTTCTGATAATTAAAAATAATTGTAAGTAATGCTTAATTAAAACCACTAGCTCTTCCTATAAATGGCAAGGAAAGTATATTTTAAAGATGCCTTTCAATTCTGTCTATATGTAGATGCTCTTTGACTTATGGTGAGTTTATATCCCAATAAAACCATTGCTAAGATGAAAATATGAGGTGAAACTACTTTTAACTTACCTATCCTGCCAAATTGTATCACTTAGCCTATCCCATCTCTGACATACTTAGAACACTGACATTAGCCTCCATTGGGCAAAATTGTAAGTCACAAAGCCTATTGTATCATAAAGTGATGAATATCTCACATATTTTATTGAATACTGCACTGAATGTGAAAAGCAGAGTGACAGTCTAGATATACCTTCACCCCTGTCATTCAGGTTCAGAAACTTAAGTGAAGTCATCATAAGTCAAGGACTATTATTGATAGTTTTTTTTTTTGTAATAAGTAACCCCTTTAGGATCTAGTAACAATGTAAAAATGTGTTATTTATAATGAATATGGCATTAGATATCATTGTACAGATTTTTTAAAAGTCTAAAACCATCCATTTCTATATATCACAGGTTTTTCTGTCTCCATGCATAAAATACTCCTATATTCATAATGAAAAAAATATTAATTTGTGCAATTTTGTTTTCTAAATGCAGCAATAGTGCAATATACAACCAGAACTACTCACTTGTTTCCTAAAAATAGTCTTACAGGATGTCTTAGCGACTGTGCCTTCACATAACTTGTACCCTCACGCAGATGTCTAACATGACTAGAGATCTCAGCTTGTCAGTGCAATTTCACTTTGTGAAATGAGAGCAACCAGCAGGCAAACAACATAGGCATGGAGACATCAAGTAAAATTAAGTAGATCTTTATTTTGTTAGTAGTAATATTTTGAATGTACTTAGCATTGTTTTGTTCTCCACGTTTCCCTAGGGTTGCTAATATCTTCACTTAATAGCTCTTTATATATCAGAACACCTATTTGTATCACATACATATATTGATAGCAGTCTGAGAGTAATACTTTTTTTTCTGGAACTAGCTACAAAAATAAAAATAAATGTTGTCCTGATTGGCTAGCAACCTAGGTAAAAAAAATAAAATGTGTGTGTTAATGATTCTAAGACATCTCTACTTTTGTCTTATCAACAAATTTAAAGTAGCTTAAAAATAACTGAAGAAAATATTTCATTAATTTTGCAAAAATCATTGTTTTTACATTTCACAAAGGGAAAACAGTTTTGCTTGTTACATATTGTCTCATTCTGTAGAGTTCAATCAATGTAACTGTTATTCTGTGTAGAAATCTTCTACACAGGAAGGGAAGGAGCTATGATTTTGGTTCCTTTTGGATAGATAACTCTTTTATGGTATTTGCATGTCATTATAATTACTTTTTTCTAACATTTTTTGGAATTGTTGATTTTTATTACACAAAACAAAAATATTTGCAAGAGGGATCTATAATATTTTATGCCACATTGAAAAATTTAGAAACATTATTATATTTGAAAACTTATACCTCCCTCTCTTTCCTATATGCAGCTGTACAAGGATCAAGTGTTATTTTCCGAACAGTGGAGGTCACATTACATAAAGAAGGCAACACCTTTGGTTTTGTAATACGAGGTATGTGACGATTAGAACCATCAGAAATTCTTGGAGAACTGGGCATGATAGATTGGGAGTTTACAGGAACATCATCCCCCAAAAACTTATGTTTTCATTGTATTAAGTTACATTTTAATATTTGAACCCACTGTTCTTTAAATAAATAAAACGATGGGAACTCAAGTAGAGTTCAAATGATCAGCATTATTTTAGTCCACTAATACAGAACAAGCAGCCAGTGTTTGTAAACCTTGTCATACACAGTCATGCTACTGATCTGTCACTTTTCAACACATCTTTTTCCTTTCCCTTTTCTATATCACTGAAACAAAAATGTTGATGAGTTGGCTTGACTTGATTTAATACATAAGGATTAACCAACTTCGTCTAAATTAATTTCTCTTGAAATACATTTTGTTATTGTAGCTTTCTAAAAATGGATTTAAGATGATCTAATCCCTTGAGTACCTGTGTGCATCAGCTCAACTCATCTTATTATGGGATGGCATTGATAATAAAGATTTCAATTGACTCCAACTTTTCTATAAAATTATTCATTCTAAGCTATGATTCTGATTTTTATTATTCTGTTTTTCTCAATAGTAATTTCATCCCTATAATACTATGTCTCTATTAACAGCTCTCAATTCCTCATGTGACAATGAGGTTTAATAGGGAACTATATAAGCATCAGGAATTTGTTAACATACATTTCTTGATTTTTTTTGTTGTTACCTATGACATTCTGTACTTCACCAGAGTAAATATATATATATATATATATATATATATATATATATATATATAAATTATTGAATTAACATTTAGCATCTTAATAAATATACATGCATCAAAGATTAAAGGAGGTATGTTGACTTCCATAGACTTGTCGAAAGTGCTGAGCTTTAAACATTAGGTCTCACTATGGACCAGTCAAGTAGCAAATCAATCAAGCAAATATTTTCAAAGGATGTATTGATGTCAGCATATATATCAGTACAATGGAGTCATAAGACAAGATCTTTTTCTATAGGAAATAACAGTCCAGTGAATTTAAGACACAAACTGACAAAGTACCCACGTGTGTCATCTGTTTTTGCAATGTAAGTGTGGAAGGGAAGTGTTCTTGAATCACAAGTGTTGAGAGCCACAGCCAAAGGGGCCCCAGCAAACTTTCAGACTGCCAGCTGATGATTGGCTCACAGCGGCCCCAGCAACATCTAGCTGATTGGCTCCTCTGCGGTGATGCTCATTGGGCTGTTTCCCCGCCCTTTCAGACTACGGAGCTGCTCATTGGGGACTTTTTTGGCTCCGCCCATGCGACCCAGCCAATCGGCCTCAAGAGCAGGAGGAGTGGGGGAGGGAGAGAGGCTTGTGGGAAGCCGGTGGTGGCAGTTGGGCTCTGAGGGTTTTTCCTGAGGAGCTGTTTTGTTTGGCATGTGTGGTTCTAAAAATAAAGTTTGTTTCTTTTGACAAGTGGCTCCTGAATTGTGCCCAGCCAGACTGCGGCAACAAGCATACAAACCTTATTATTGAAAGGATGCAGCAAAAATTACTGGTGTTGCAAGTGTATATCACTAGTTATCAGGTGGCTAATAGCAAATCAAATTGCCAACAAAAAAGCCAAACCAATAGCAATTTATCATTAAGAAATAAGAAGAGAAACAACTGAATTCCTCAACCACCTCAAGAAAACAAACGATGTAATATTACCAGAATATTCCTTTCACACTTTTCAGGAATTTTAAATATCTGTGTATACGCACAGGAGTTTTATAATATGAGCCTACAATACTGGCTTGTGCATAGTGGCACTCAATAAATGAATGAATAATTAAATATTGCCTAGATTTGTGTGAACATCGGACTGCTTGGCATTAATCTGATTTTAGTGATAATAAACAAGTTTAGTTGATAAGTACCACATTTTTTAGGCTTTAATAACTTTGTTAATACATTGGTAAAACAAAAGTTAATAGAATTTTGTTTAATTTCTCAATGTGAATCAAAGAAAGACTTATACTTTTGGATCCTTTTGAAATCCATCTCTAGAAGGTTTTTCCAGCTCAACAGATGGCCACTATCCATCCCTTAAGAATCATTGGTTAATCAGATTGAAAAGATACAGCCAGGCATGGTGGCACACATCTGTAATCCCAGAGGCTCAGGAGGCTGAGGCAGGAGAATCATGAATTAAAGCCAGCCTCAGCAAAAGCGAGGTGCTAAGCAACTCAGTGAGACCCTGTCTCTAAATAAAATACAAAAAAGGATTGGCATTGGGCTCAATTGTCAAGTGCCCCTGAGTTCAATCCCCAATACAAAAAAAAAAAAAAGAAAAGGTATGGTGGGTAAATATTAGCATGACTCTTAAGACATTTTGGCATAGATGGGATGTGAGCTACTCTGAGACAAAGGGAGATTACCAGGAAAATCAGGAAGTGGAGCTGATAGCACAGAAGGAGTCTATCTGTTTAGTGCTGGAGAATTACTTCATAACCTGATGGAATAGAACTTTGGATGTTAAAATAAGCTTTTAGATGGTGAACGGACTTATTTTTCTAATAATATAAGTGACAGATTCTAAAAATTTGACCCTCTGAACAATAGAACTTGTACGCATAGGGAAAAAAAGTGATGCTCTGGCCTGAACATAGGAGATTTCAATTTCCATTCATTAAACACATTCCATAAGAAACAAGTAAGACCTTTGAGGCCATTGTTATATGTGAGAAGGCAAATTTTGCATGTTTTCTTCCCTACATCAATAAATATTCTGCAGTTTCTCAGCTGGCATTTTGTAAATGAGCTTTTCTTAATGGCAACAATGAACATATTATTATTATTATTGTTCAGGGGGTACCAGGGTACCTGAACTCAGGATTACTTGACCACTGAGCCACATCCCTAGTCCTGTTTTGTATTTTATTAGAGACAGAGTCTCACTAAGTTTCTTATCACCTCAATAAATTACTGAGGCTGGCTTTGAACTCACAATCCTCCTGCCTCCGCCTCCCAAGCTTCAACGATGAATATATTTTAAAGCTGTATTCCTTTTCTTTGCTAGGGGGAGCCCATGATGATAGGAATAAATCTCGCCCAGTTGTGATAACATGTGTTCGTCCTGGAGGGCCTGCTGACAGGTAAACTTCATCTTTCTGTGTTATTGTCCAAAACAGATTAAATAGAGTTGGAGACTTTGGCATAGAATTTGATTTATAGAATTTGGAGAGAATAGAAAAGATCTCTTAGACATCTTTCATAGCAAAGATAGATATTACATAAATATGTTAGAATGTGAAAACTAAAAGAGTTTGAAATAATAATGTTTCTCTCTAGATTCGGCATTTAGCATACTTTATTCCTGGCAAGTAACTTGGTTCTGAGCTCAATTTTCTCCACTGTAGATGTTGACAATAATATCTGTCTTTGGGTCTGTTAACTTTTATCAAAGGTCTGAGATGCACGGTTCCTTCAGGGGGGCTTTCATATAGGAGGGACTTATGACAGGCTTCTGGCCCCTCAACTGCTACCCTCTTGACCTGGAGGCCCAGATGGTTAAGTCACATGCCAGCTATTAAGAAGAACCAGGTCATGGTTGTTTGATTTTTGTAATTATTGGCATTCTTATCACTAGATAATGACATTCATGTTAGAATGGAAGTGACTTTTAGCAAAATGGAAGGAATTTTGCCAGTCTCTCGAGTTTTCACTTCCTTCTGTTTCTTTTCCTTGAGAATTTGAATATGTGAAAGACAAGTGCCTTCAGCCTTCACATCATAAGTCTTGTTGGGTCCCAGGTACACTCACAGTTTAGGTGTCTCTGGACATACTTATCTCTGTATTATTTTCCCACAGCAAAAGTCAACTGCATAATGATGGAGGAACACACTCCTGCCATGAGATATCATTGCAAGATGGGAGGAAAATCTGTCTCTCTGTTTCAGACCAGAGAGAAATAGAAATTATAAACCTTTTTTAAGAAATAGAAATTATAATAATAAATACAATTTATTAAACACATACTGAGTGTCAGGAACTGTGCTAACTTCTTGGCCAACACTGTCTTATATTTTTAGCCCTACAACCATCTTGTGAATAAGATATTTTTATTGTACCTCAGCTGGCCAAATGGAGGGCACAGATGGTTAAGTCACATGCCAGCTATTAAGAAGAACCAGGATACAAATTCAGGTTTATTTTCCTCAAAGTATTTGCTGTCGGCTCACTTTTAAGAAAGATGATATTTCATATAAAGAGAGGAGGGAGACACTGTGCTAGGGTATATTTGCCTTTGTAAAGGATAGCACAAAGTTAAAACCTCCAGGGAAGTTTTGCCTTTTTCCTTCTCATTTCTCTCTTAGGAATTATTCTTTCTGATGAAAATAGACATCTGTTCATTTCTTATCAACATTTAGGGTTAGGGTTAACAAGAATGTCAAAAACAGACCGTAAGTTTGTGAGCAATACATTATCAAATTAGCTTAGGAGTCAAGGAAACCTAAGTGTTAACGATAAAAACTTAAGAGTCAAAATACTTAGTTGCCTAAGTGAAAGATGTCTAAGAGATCTTTTGGGTAGGGAGGCTGTAATCCTGAAGGCACTCTGGTTCTGCCTCTATCATGTCACTAACATCCTGGTGTCATCTCCCAGTGCCTGAAGACTAGTCACAACAGGGAAAATATAATTTGCCTGCTTCTTCCCAGAAATGTGAGACTGAATTCATTTATTGATTGCCAAACAGCCTTATAAATCATTAGGGAAATTTACAGAGTAGTGCAATTTCTCACCAGCACTCCCCATTCCACTTGGGTTCACTGGTAATAAATTGAATGAAATTAAAAAGGCTTTTCTGCTCACCTGACTTTGGGAAAATAGGTGAATGCTATTTCCTGGGTACCAATAAATCAATTTTAGACTTTCAGGCAAAAACCTAGAAAAGAAAAAAATATGCCTTTCTTACTTTTGTACTCAAGAGTTAACTCTGAGTAACTAGATTACCCGCTAATGTCTGGTTATCTTCTCATTACTGATTTTTGTATTATAGCAATTTTCCTTGCAGGGCTTCCTCTTTACACTCTTACTGTGATACCTGAGGCTTACAAAGAGTGCAAATGGGATGGATGGCAGCACGTGTGTGGAAGAATGGCTTTGGCTAAGTGACTATAAGCATTATGCTACATTAATCAAGACCTTGCCTTTATTTTCCCTTTAGAGAGGGCACTATCAGACCTGGAGACAGGTTGCTCAGTGTGGATGGAATTCGGCTTCTTGGAACCACACATGCTGAAGCCATGAGTATTCTTAAACAATGTGGACAAGAAGCAACGCTGCTGATAGAATACGATGTCTCAGTAATGGGTATGTTGGAATCCCAAGCGGGTGCTCTCTTAAGCTCTAGATCCTGTCACTGCCCATCCCTGAAAACCCACTGTAGATAAGTGCATATTTTTTGGCCCTCCTGTAGCAGACAGAATTGCGTCAATACTCTATCATTGTAGTCTGAGTTCAGGAAAAGGTGTGGTATTTTTCAATGGTGTTGAGTAGAGTTCTCATGTTCTATAATAATGTCTCATTCTGTGGGTGTCTCTCATCCAGCAATCAACTGTTCTGTATGGATTACCCTTGGCAGCAAAGTATCTTTCTCCTCCAAAATCACAAAAAATAGTGTTATTAACTAAAGGACTGCTACTGTTGCTTTTAATATTTGGAGACTGGCAGCAGTGGGAGATTCCTTTCCTTCTTATGTAACTTTACAACCTGAAGCCAGCTAATCAGAATTAATAGAAATGATCATTTATTTCATGTTAGACTCAAAGACAAGAGAAAGGAAGAGCACATATAGCAACATTGATTGAAATTAAAAATTAAATGCAATGTTTTTTTTCATTAAAAGGGGATTCTAATAGAAAGGGACTACTCCTAAACTCATAAAAATTAGCAAAATGTTCTAATTTGGCTTCTAAATGTTTGGAGAGTCAAACAGGTGTGTGTGTGTGTGTGTGTGTGTGCATTCTGAGGAAGAAAAATAATGAAAGAATGGATTGGACCTGGAAATTGAAACTTAAATCAATTTGTAATTGCAGGTAATCCTTACAATTATCAGACTTGATTATGTGACCCGGCTTTGCCAGCCAATTTTATGCTGATAAAATATAGGAAAGAAAAAGAGACTAATTCTATAACTGCAAACTCCTTTATGCCCTAATCTATATGATTCATATAGAACAATGTCATTTGAGAGTATTCATAATCTGTTTGCTGACCTACAATGTCTTAGAGAGGTATGAAGTTTTCTGACAAGCATAAAATCTGAGATTTAAGGAGTTTTTAGCATGGCAAATAGAGTGATATGATCTTGACATGAAATTTTCACAAAACAATGTTCCCTTTTTTACTTTCCTACCTTCCTTTGTCTTTCCTCTTTTGTTTTCTCCCTTTTCCACTTTATTTCTTTTGTTATATGGCATTTGAATTCGATTTTAGTAGATGATTTTGGTTTTGTTTTCAATGCTTCTGATCTCCAGTTATTGATTGAACCACGTCACTTGATTTTCCTCTGCTTTCTTTGTCAAATGGGAACTAACAATGCCTATTTGCAGGGGCAGTTATGAAGGTATTTAAAATGTGGCAAATAATTATCATTAAAAAACAAATAGATGTTGACATGTTTAACTCATTCCATCTAAAAACATTTATAAGCTAAATGGCAGGTATCAGGAATACAGAAGTAATACACAAAACAGACCTGGTTCTTACCCTTTGAGGACTGCAGGTAGGAAGAACAGCAAACAGAATATTGCCAAGTAAACAAGCACTCATGAAGTTTAGTTATTATGAAGAGTATGGTCAGGATTCTGTACTAGGAAATAAGGGTAGGCACAGGTAAGGATTGACAGGTGCTTTAAATAGAGTGACAGACTAAAAACCAAAGCTTTAGTAGAAACCAGATCCCATACTGAAGACAACAAATATCTGAAAGGTCTGAGCATTACACTTCAGAGAAAAGAACTCCCCTTCTGGGATGAATACCATATCAAAGGTGTCTGAGTTCATGTTTCAGCATTGCCAAGGTTCTCTCTCTAACTCACGCTCACCCTCCAAATGACACCTGGAAATCTTTACAGCCCAGTGTTTCCATTCAGCCCCCTTAATGTAAGGGTAGGAAGGAAACTCCTTGAGTTTCTCAAGGTGGCTGGATATAAGATCAGCATACAAAAATTAGTTGATTTTCTGTATTACAGCCAAAAACAGAAAATTAAATTGTTAAGATACATTTATAATAGCACTAAAATCATAAGTTTCTATAAGAAATAGATCTAACCCAAGTTGTTTGAACCCATTATACATATACACATATATACATTCATATACATAAAAGAGTACTTAAATACATGATGATCTAGATCATGTTCTTAGATGGGAATGTTAGTATCTAAAAGATTCAATTTCTATCAAATATATCCACATATTCAATTTTATTCAAAACCTCAAAAAAATGGTCTTTGGAGTGATAAGAACAAGCTGTTTCTAAGATGATAGAATGAATCAGACCTGACTTTTCCTATGTTTACATATGAATACACAATCAGTGTAACTCCACATCATGTACAACCACAAAAATGGAAAGTTATCCTCCATGTATGTATAATATATCAAAATACACTCTACTGTCACATATATTTAAAAAGAACAAGTAAAAAAATTAAAAAGAATAAGCCATTTCTAAAATGTATATGGATTTAGAAAAGGGAGAAGGGACATAAACCAAAATGTTTTTGAGACCATATGAAGGGAAAGAATCTTTTTCTACCCCATATCAGGTCTCATTCTAAAATTGTGCCTTTGAGTTTATGCTATAATAACATGGGGTAATAGAGAGACTAGTAGAAGAAGACAGCATGCCTAGAAATAGACCACTGTAGATTGAAAACAGAAGTATGCTTATACAACACTGGGGAAAGTTTGAACTAGCCAGTAAATGATGCTGAGACAATTAATTAGCCACATGACAAAAATGATATTAAATTCCTACTTCAGGTCAGGCCCAAAATGAATTCTATACTTACTTATTTAATTTCCAACAGATTGCTATCATAAATAACTTTAATGAATATTTTTATACCCAAACCTTTGTCTGCATTTATGATTTCAAAAGACAAATGGCATATTTGTTTTATCGTAATTTCAAATTGTTCTCCAGAAAGTTTGTATTGTGTTACATTACTATTGGCAACATTCAAAATGAACCTATCTCAGTAGAGCTTGTCTACATTTAATATTTTCATTTTTAATATATCTTATTGTTAGAAGAAATTCTATTTTGTTTACACTTTTAAAATACTCTAGTCAGGTGAATAAATTTTCATATGACTCCTAGTCATTTGCATTTTCTATTGTCTGTTTATGTCCCTCATTCATTTTTCTATTGAAATTGCTTTTAGTTTTTTGTTTATTATTCTGTATTAACTTACATTGACTATTTTTATGTTAAGGACACTAGGTATTAGTTTTTTGTAAAAACTTTTCTCAGTCCATAGTTATTTATGGATTTGTAATCAGATACCCTCCATCACACTCATGTAAAGCTAAATAGACACAAATTTTTCAGTAGTAAACTTTATATCCTACCTCAGACACAAATTCAGTAATGTCATAGGAGTTATGTTTCTCAGATTTTCTTGCCTGAGGTAGACTCTCTTTACATCATGACAAGACGACCTTTTCAGTCACAAGTCTACATTATCTTGAGAGTTCATGATGACAGAGAAAGAAACAAGATCAAATTTCTCAGTGATTTTCAATGACTTAGCTTGGGGCAGATACTGACCACTACTTTAACCACTGTGTCCAGAGATACTGTGCACTCTTTACTCCTATGGTAGGGGAGTTTCCTTTGCTTCATGTCTTCACCAGTATTTGGAATTGTGTGTCCACTTCATTTTAACCATTCTGATGGGCATGTGGTGGTATCTCATTGTGAATGTGGTGTACATCCCCTAAATGAATAACAATATGGAACACCTTTTCATTTGCCAGTGGGGCATGCTTTTTTCTTTGATTTACTTTTAGTACTTACATTTATTTACATACTATTACAAGAACACAAATTATCTCCTGGGAAGCGTGTATGTGTGTGCACATGCATGTGTGTGCATGCAAAATAGATATCAATATTTCAACCCTGGAAGTACATATATTTTTAAATAAATCTCAGGTCATATATTTTAGCAAGTTCAGTGATATGTTTTGAAAAAGCTATTGGCACTATTAATTTTATTAAGTAAAGCTAAATTTAGTCTGATAACATTTTAAGGAAATATGTGGGAAGAATAAGTTTGAAGAAAACAGTAGTTCAATTTTGGATCTGTTAAGTGTGAATTCTTGCTAGAAAGAATATTTGGGAAATGATGTGTTTGGATCATTTTCTTTCCTAAATGTTCATTAGAATACTTATTTTGCTTAAACCTTTGCTGAAAATATTTCCAAAATGTTTCTGAGAATGTATGTTCACTTAGATACTTGAAGCTTTGGTGAAGTCACTTGATAGTTATCTCAGGAACATTTTCTGAATGTCAGTCCCTAGGTCAGTGTTAAAGTATCGAGAGAGATTGAGAAGATGATATCAAATCTGTACTGACGGGTAACTTGCTCTGAATCTTTAAAGATTACATGATTCTCTAAAAATTTGTTTTTTGGTTTTTTTTTTCTTTTACAACTATTTCTATGGAAGAACCACAGAAAGCAGTCAATAAAAGTGGGATTCTTGTTGGGCAGTAGTTGTAGCTCAGAGGTAAAGCACTTGCCTCGCAAGTGTGATGCACTAGGTTCAATCCTAGCACTATATAAAAACAAATAAAGGCATTGAGTCCATGTACAACTAAAAACCAAATTTTTTTAAAAAATGGAATTTTTGTTAGTTGTATTAAACAAAGCTCACTGTTGTATAATTTAAATGAGCTTTCTTACTAAGAAACAGTTAATGTCTGCAGTGATCTTTGCAGATATTTTAATGTAAGCAACAAATTATTGTAGTTGATAATAAAGTTGGACAAATAGCTGTTTCTCCCAAATGCCCTGAGCTTTCCCACTGTAGTGCCCAATGTCTAGCTTTACCATAAGTGGTCCTTTCAAAAACAAGCTATACATTTGTAGGCCCGGATTAAAGCCACTTCCTTGTTGGTTCTGCTGTTAACCTGGATCATTATCTAATTTTCTGTCCCTCTTGAGAAGTCACTCTGTGTAGCACTTTCTTGGTACCTCTTGAGGAAATTGATATTTTTTTTGTCTTGGTTGCCTGTGTGTTTCTGTTGTGACACTAGGTTCCCCAAGCTCTGTGGAAACAGTAACCAAATCATCTT